AACTACTTACTCACTCAGATGTTTAAAAAAAAAAAAAAAAAAAAAAAGCAAACTACCTTCATTATCTTCCTTTACTGGAGACAGAGTCTGTCTGCTACACAGCTCTCAGCTGTCCTGGAACTTGCTACATAGACCAGGGAGGCCTTGAACTCACATAGATCCACTTGCCTCTGCCTTCCTAACGCTAGGTTTAAAGATGTGTGCCACCACATCTAGCCAAACTACCTTTTTAAAGAAGGGTGGAAAAACCCAAAACTATACAAATTGGCTGGGAAGATGGTTCTGTCCATAAAGTGCCTAGTCAAACCGATGAGCTTCAGTGTAAAACACAAGGTTTGAGATCTCTATGCCCACCTTAGCCCCCGAATAACGACAAAGGTACCTGTATACATTTATTAAAAGCTTTAGGCACTGCAGCTGAGCAGATACTAAGCCACTAACCCAACAATGCTGGCCTGTCCTACTTCCCAGCCAATTGCCCATTACATGCCATCTTAGACTCACTCTAGCAACTCTTGGTTCATCTGTGTCCTCAGGTCACTCCCTCCCGCGTCTCTGGTCCCCGCTTGAGACCCCTCACTGGGATCAGAAGTCTGGCCTTAACTCTCCTGAGCAGCTATATATTGCTCAGCTCTTTATTATCCAATCAGAAGTGAGGGACAGGGCTTCTTTGCGTAGCCCTGGCTGTCCTGGACTCCTTTGTAGATCAGGCTGGCCTTGAACTCACAGAGATCTGCCTGCCTCTACCTCCCTGAATGCTGGGATGACAGGCGTGCGCCACCACTCCTGGCTGAGGAAGAAGAATTTTTATACAACATTAAGACAGGAGATGCTTCATAATAATGGACTTCATATAGAAATCAACATCTGAATAAACAGTTTACAAAAGCATCCTCCAACACGTCAGGTTTAGTGACAAAGAACCTTAGAGAACAAGACAGAACAACTAGGGAAAACACCCAGCATTGACCTCTGGCCCCCACACACATGCATGCTCACGTGCACATACCCACGTAAGCACATTCAAATACCACAGACCCATATTCTGCAGCAAAGCTTACAGACTTAAATGAGATTTTCAAAATATGTTCAAAAGAAAAAAAAATCTTAAGTTACATTTTACAAGAGAAAAAATTTCTCAAGAAGATGGAGGGATGCTAGCAGTGGTCAGAAAACAGGATGGCACAGCCCTTGCTTTGTGGTCTGCACCTCTGAAGGAGGTGCACACTAAAGCCATCTTCAATCAAGAAAATTCAGAAACTCCTCCAACGGTGCTCCAGTCTCCACTTACATTTCTAAAGTACCCAATTGTGTGCAGTAAGACTCTAGAATCATCACAAACTCTGGGAGGAAGAAAGAAGAGGGAAGGGCCACCAGAAATCCCAGAGCATGTACTCTTATCCTATCCTGGTTTTAAAAACAAACAGATTCCCAATCTGTAAAAACAAAAAGGCAAAAATAAAAGCTCCCTCCCCCAAATATACACATACATATACAAATTTCACCACTTTTCAGCAGACAGATCCTAACTAGAGAGCCTGATCCAATGACGCATGATGTCCTATACAACTGAAGTCTAACTCCTAATGGTCCCTGCCACCTCATTCCAATTGGTCAGTTGCAGAGAAGACAACTGATACTTTAAAATTTACAATCCCAAAATGTGAGCTAGTCTCTTGCCCCAAAAGGGCCCCAATCACCCCACTCAAATGGCCCAGGAGGCAAGGCCAGATAATTAAAAAAAATTCTTTCAATTACACCTAACCCCAAAGATTCATTTATTTTTATTTTAGTTATTCATGTTTCATCTTTATTTTATTGGTGTTTTCCCTGCATATATGTCTGTGTGAGGGTGCCAACACTTGAAGCTGGATTGCAGATAGTTGTGACCTGCCATGTGGGTGGTAGGACTCAAACCCTGGTCCTCTAGAAGAGCAGCCTGTGCTCTTAAACACTGGGCCACCTCTCGAGCCCCCCGATGACTTTTCTTAACAAATACAAAAGAACCTCTTTCTCTATCAGAGTTGTGAATCTGAGAATTTACCACCCTACCAGGCTTCAGTATGGTAAAAAATATTAACCCTGTGCCTTAAGCTCCTTGCTCCTGTCCAATAAAGCCTAGTAACTACCAAGCAGGTCTTTAACAAGGCTGTCAGTTAGGGCAATAAAACACACCAGCACAAAAACTAGCTCCATTTCCTCATTGAAAAACTCGCAGTATCAGTCTGTAGACAGCATTCTGTCATCTCAACTCACCTGACAGATGGTAAAGAAAGTCTGCACAAACTTGACCAAGAAACTGTTGGCAGCTAATATCCCAGAGCAAGTCTTCCTAAGCCTTGCCTGCAGATCCCCAACTTCAGATGCTCACCTGGACCCCGAACATCTTGGGTCCCCTTAGCAAGTAAGCACCCTAGAATTCCTACCGAAAGGGACTTTTTGTTATTCCGTGACTGTCTAGCTTAGATCTCAGTCACAGACACTAGCTTGCTCTATAATTGTGAGTGGACTGAGGCCTCTCATGAGGGACATTTGCAGGCTCTGGAGGTCGCTGTAGACCTGGCCATGCTTTGTGTGCTGTTGGTTCCTCACCTTGTTTGTATCCACTTAAATTTCTTCTGTTAACCTTTGGCATATTAGCTGTCCCTACTCAAGTCTCAGTGACAAAAATGGTCCTTCCCTCTTCCTTCACACTCTCTCCCTGTGTCAAGGAGACAGAAACTCCACGATACACCTCATGCCCCTTTCCTGCTGTCCTTGTTTTAACCCATGGCCAAAAAACGCTTGCTGTTTTATATGGAAGCTAAGTCAACCCAAGGAAAGGGGCCACAAGTGCTTCACAATTATTATAACCAAGGAAGAAAAACCAGTAGGGGGGAAGAAATGAAGATCCTTTGCACACAAGATGTTGATGACAATCGGAAAATAAATAAGGGGCTGGAAAGATGGCTCATCAGTTAAGAGCATGTACTACCCCGTGCCCAGAGGACCCAAGCGCCATCTCCAGCACTGTACCAAGTGGTTGACAGCCCGTCTCTAAGAGAACCAACACGCCTGGTCTCAGCAGGCATGTGCACATGTCCACACTTAGACAATTTTTTTTAAAAAATGAAAAGTAAATAGAGGAAGAAAAGGGAACATATCACAGCCACCAGAGCTGTCAGCAAGTAACCCAGCCTTTGAGCTGGGCAGCAAGTTCTGTCTGTTCTATCTCAGCATCCACTAGATTATTTTCCACTAACATACATTTGGAGCACACTTAGGTAACAGATTCTATAAACACATAAAAAATGTGGCTCTAGTTTGTACACTTATATACAAATTTCTTAAGTCATTCACTCTCCCCACTAAGTAGATGATACTTAAAGTGACATTTCTATACCTAGTCACAACCCCCAACTTGTGTGTTGAAGTAAACCCACCTCGAAGCTGATCCAAGCCACCCTTTTGCTAGTCTGGATTTGTTTCTACAGTATCTGCAAAGTTAGGTAAGACACCAGTGAGCGGGAGCCAGGAAATCCGGGCTGTGGGCCAAGAGCCTTCAATTATCAGCTGTGACCTTGGGCAAATCATTGAATCAGATCTGGGTGAGTCACATAACAGGTAAAGGCATTCTATAAACTGAATGCATGCCTCCAGTGGAAAAGGCTTATTATCCGCAAGTAACTGAAGGAACAAATTCCAGTTCACCTCAGGTAAAGACATCAGACTCTAATTAGGGCCTCCACCTGCAACAGGATCATGTGAATAACTGTGACTGGGAAAGCAAACAAAGGCTAATCAGGCCTTCTTACCGGTTTGTTAATGTTGGCCCCAGCTTGAATCAGCCAGACCAGGCACTGAGGATGGCCTCCAAAAGCAGCAATGTGGGCTGGGGTCTGGGCATAGCGGGTGGTTGATACATTCAGTGAGGCTCCTGCTCTTACCAACTGGATTAAGCACTCCAACTTCAAACACAGGTGGGAGGACAAAAACAGGACATGTCAGTATACCACATAATAGCACACACAATCTAAATTCCCCACCAGTTTTTTTTACCATTGTTTTCTTCTGACAATAGGCTAATTTCCTCCTTTAAATGTTTAGAGTGCATTATTCTAAAGAAAAAAACAAAAAACAAAAAACAAACCCAACTCCCATCAATGCTGGGTGCAATGGTGCACGCCTGTGATCCTAGCACTCTGGAGGCACACCCAGAACTCTGTGAGTTCGAGGCCAGCCTGATCTACAGAGAAACCCTGTCTCAAAAGCCCAAAAAAAAAAACCAAAACAAAACAAAAAAGTGATTGGCAGGCTATAAAAAATTGTCTACGCAACCTCTTTATAATCGAAGACTTTTATATACCATTTACTATTGTTCCACACTGAATGGCCCCAAAGTTCATTCCCCATCACTTAAGCAGTCTTTAAAATAGAAGCGAAAGAAACCATGGGGAAAAAAAAACAAAAAAATCACACCACAGTCAAGCTCACCCAGCAGGTGACTAACTGAAGGACTGGCAAGTGGGGACAAAACAGCCAGGTCCCGCTGTGCTGGCTCTGGCTGAGTCCATCACATCCAACATGTGCAGCAAGCACCTACCACATGGCCAGGAATGTTTTTGGTACTTACTTGTTCTCCAATTTTAGGCTGTTTCTCCTCAACTGACAACAAGGCAGCAAAGAAGCTGTGCTTGACTACAAGCAATTCTCAAGAATAAACAGTCTCCTCTCTGTCTTTGAGCAATTTTAGCTTGTCCTTATAAAAAGGACTACTTCTGTGCGTTCTTATTGACTGGCAGGCTACAAAACTTGCACAGTAGGCAGGGAACAGACTTTAAAACATTGCTTAGACAGGTGGAAGTAATGTCGGGTGAAGTTCCTTTAATTTTCCAAGGGAAAAAAGAAAAGTACAAACTGACAAGATAAACAGGTGTCAAGTGAAAAGCAATCAGTTAACACGCAGTTTCTAGGATTTGAACCTGTTAGCTGTGCCATGTTCAACCTAGGAAACTGGGTTTGGAATTCTGGAAGGTACTTTTAAATTGGGCATCTTGTAAAAGCAAGGAATAGCCTTAATAACGGCCAGTCTTCCTGGAATAAATAAGCCTCATAACGACTGGGTAACTTGAGAGCCACTGGTACATTCTGAGGGTAAAACAAGCTGGAAACCTAGAGAACGGGAGAGCGACAACAGATGGCTCGGCTGGGGAAAAGAGGCGCGGCCTTTTCGGCTCTAAGAGCTCTCCCTAACACTTGGGGTTTCCAAGATGGTTCCACATCTTAATACCGTCTAGGTCTCCAATAGGATAGCTCAAAACCACAAACTCCTCGCCTCTGCCACAACACGGCTCTCCAAAGCCAAGTCTGCAACTCGCCCTCTGTACAAGTGAAAAAGCTCTTTAAGTTTTAGCTTAGATTGTGGTGGAACTGCACGTGAGGTCTGCCGCTTCAGGGCGCGGAGGCACTTCTGTCCGCGGATGGCGAAGGCAACGACATTGCCCGCGACCACCTGCCAGGTGGCCCGCACCCGCCTGTGTGCCATCCGTCCAGCACCAGGCGAAGGGGCCAATTAGCACAGCTTGCACGGGGCGGCCCCGGTGCAGGCCCGGATGCGACCCCGCCTTCGGCCACGGGGGGTGCAGACTTGACATCCCAGGAAGGGTGGGCAGCACCCATCCCTCGTGCCTTAAAGGCGCTCTGCACCCGGTTTCCATCAGCCAGGAACGCGTGGCTCCCGGGTCTCTCCTCGCCAAAAGCAGGAACCTCCTACAAGACTCCCCGAAGCCGGGCGGGCACAAACAGCCACAGACGCTGCACATGCGCCCTGAGTCCTTCGGGGCGCCGGCGAGGCCGACCCCGTTTCCGCCCCGCCTCCCGGCACTCCCCGCGCCCCCCGGTGTCCTGGGTCGCGGGCGCCGCCGCACATGCGCCGTGGGCCCCTCGAGGAGCCGGCGGCGCCCGCGCGGCCTCCGCGCCCCCATCCCCTGGGTCGCAGACCGCGGCGCGCCGCACATGCGCCCTGGGACCCTCGGGGGGCGCCGGCGGCGGCGCCCGCGCTTCGGCCACGCTCTCCTGGCACGGCGGGGTGCGCTCTGACCCTCCCACAACAGCACGCGGAAAATGGCGCCTTAAAGCGCCCGCGCCCACCTTGCCGAAGTGCGCGGCCCAGTGCACGGGCGTCCAGCCGTAGAAGGAGTCCTCGGCGGCCAGGTGAGCGCGCGGCGTGTGCGGCAGCAGCGAGCAGAGTGCGACCAGGTCCCCGTCGCGGCAGGCGCGGTGCAGCGGGAAGCGGAGTGACAGCAGCTCCTCGCTCGAGAAGCCTGCCTCCACGCCCGCTCCCGCCGACATGGTGGGTCACTGGAAAGCGCGTGACTGACCGGCGGGAGGGACTGCCGGCGGAGGCCTGTGAGCTCGCCGCCACCCGAGCACAAAGGACAGGCGAGCTGCTTCTGCCGCGTCCCACCCGCTGCCGAGCGCGGCAAGCACTGAGGGCGGAGCCTGGGCGCTGGGGCGGGGCCTGCGCCGGGACAAGGCGGGGCCTGACAGGCCGCTGCCTCGGAGAGCCAGTCAGGAGTGGGCGGGACCTACGCCTCGGGGCGGGGCCTGGGCCGGGATAAGGACGGGTCTGATAGGCTGCTCCCTCAAAACCAAGCCAGGAGTGGGCGGAGCCTGAGTTCCTGGGCGGGGCCTGCGCTGTGTCTGAGCCTCAACACCGCCTTAGGCGGCTGGTGCTGAGGTTGGTTCAGGAGACGGCCAGGAATGGGGCGGGGCTAGGAGGTGATTGCGATTTGAGGGCGTGGCTTGGGCCGGAGGAGCGAAGCTTGGCTGTGATTGACGCCTAAGGAGGCCGCGCCCGAGACCTCGCCTGGAGCCCTGTTGACAATGGAGGCAAACCGCAACTGAAAACCTTGCCTGGGAAGGCCAAGGCCAAGGGCGGGCCTGCCTGTGATTGGCAGCTGAAGTCCACGCCTGGAACTAAGGGGGTGGAGCCTGGGGGCTAGAGAGGGGCCGAGCCACGGTCGTCGCCTGGGGGCTGGGCGTGGCCTCGGGGGGGTGGGTGTGGCCTGGAGCGGGTTCGGACCGAAGCGGACGCCTGAGGCGCAGCTACTTAATAAAGCTCCTGCTCTGCCAGACGCGCTGGCGAGTGGGGATCCAGGACTCCCGGCGCAAGTGCTGGCTGGCAGCCCGTCCTGGCCTGCTTCCGCGGTTGCCTGAGTTCCTCCAATTAGAGTTTATTGGGCGCCTGCGGAGCACAGCTCCTCATTAAAAACCCGAAAACAAGGGTGCAGCTCGTTACAGCGCTGGCCCTTAATTGGGATGGATACCGGGGAGACCGAGCACGAGAGGGTTGAGGGGCCCTGGCGTCTGTAACTATAAACTATGAGTCACGCGAGCAGGCTGAACGCACGGTGAAAGGTTTCATTACCAAGAAAAATACACTACAGAATTCTCTTTCAAGTGGTACAATGCTGTGGTCGTAAAAATAAGGCTTTTAAAAAATTTAAAAATCATAATGAGCCATTAAGGAGTGAACACTGTTCCTGGATACCTACCGAAGCCTTCTATTATATATACATATATATTTTTTTTTCCATGTATATGCTTTTCTTTGAGGAGGCTACATAGTAGAGATTAGAATTACTGTATCGCTGAAACTGTCCTGGAACTTCTCATCCTCCTGCCTCAGCTGCTGGGATTATAAACATGTCATCAGGCCACATACTTAACATTGCCACATTAAGGAGTATAAAGCAAGTAATTAGAAAGCAGAGAATTGACAATGGGAGATTGTTCACCCACGTGAACACTCTGCACAGCCGTCTGTTGGAATAACAGACACTCCTTGTGAACGGTGAAGGATGTTGAGAAACATCCAGTCTAGAGAGGAAGTTTGAATTCACTGAGCAATGACTAATGAATGGGAAATATGAGATGGACTCATTATCTCTCAAGTTCATAATCGGTGAGGCAAGAAAATCTTTTGGTAGTTGTGGTTTTACTTAGCTGCTTGGACCAAATGATAGCCTGTTCTGTGTCAAGCTTTGTTCACTGAGAACCCTTAAGAGTGGCATTTTGCAAAATGGCAAGTGCACCTTGTCAACTTTGCCAACAAAGGAGATTGTTGCACTTTCACTTGTCTCCTGGGGGCTGAGACTGAGGCAGATTTGTGTGTGTGTGTGTGTGTGTGTGTGTGTGTGTGTGTATGCGTGTATGTATGTATGTATGTGTAATTTTTTGTTTTTCCAGCCAGGGTTTCTCTGTGTAACAGAGCTGTCCTGGACTCACTTTGTAGACCAGGCTGGCCTTGAACTCTGAGAAATCCGACTGACTGCTCTGCCTCCCGAATGCTGGGATTAAAGGTGTGTGCCACGTGTGGCTCCTGTGGATATCTGAGGACAACTTTTGGGACTCTTTTTCTCCTTCTGCCACTTGGGTTTCTGGGATTGAGCTCAGGTCATCAGCCTTAGCAGCAGGCTCTCCTTTAACTGCTGAGACTCTCAGGGGCCCGAGTTTTGCTGTTTTCACTCTGGATTTTATTTTGCATACAGTATCAAGTCTAGCAAAAGAAAATGTTAGGATTCTTAGAGCACATTTTTCTTCAAGAGCACATTCCTTCTAGTTTGCACAGTTTCTCACACAGTATGCATACTGCTGTAGCTGTGCATAAATAGACTGACATGTCCACTAAGAGATAGAACCCCAGTGTCTGCTCATGGGAGTTGTGGATTGGGTATATCACGGGTCAGTGTTCCAACTGGTAAGTAATCCATACTTTACTTTATTGTTGTTGTTGTTATTATTATTATTTGTTTTGTTTTCTTGGGAGTCTGTGTAGTCCAGGCTGGCCTGGAGCTGGACCATCCTCCTACATGAAAGGGTTATTCCAGCTTGTGGTTCTGTGGAGTCCAGGCCCTGTGGCTCTGGATCCCAGGTCAGGCAGCAATTCATGTGTAATACCCAGATGGCGAGTCCCCAAATGTCTAACAGGATTTGAGTCCGATGGAAAACACATGAAGGTCTTTTATTCCAAGCTTGAGCTGGGTGGCTGCCCTTTACAAAGACAAAGTGGCAAGCGACCCCCAACTCCATGAGAACAAGGTTTTTAAAGGGACAAAATGCAAGCGGGGAAGTGCAAGTCTTGGCATTAGAGGTTTGGGTAAGAGAGTCTCTAGGGGAGCTGACCTTTAAAATGATTCTTCTGTTTTTAGGTGCCAAGACTGCAAATGGTCAGGCCTGGCTACCTAGGGGGCATCTGACCTCTAGTACTGCCCTGTTAGGTGCAGGTTAGGCTGTAGCGGGGGGTAGTGGGCTTTCTTAGGCGCTATGTGACTCCAGTCCCAGCCTAAGGTTTATCTGGGCGGGGGACTGCTGCTGGACCTCTGCTCTGAAAGGACTGTGATCTGGTGATTTTGCCCCAGTCCCAGGAATTAACTCTAAGTTTTTGGACCTCTCACATGCAGGCACGTGTGGCAGGGTTTGCTGTTCTATGAGGCAGGAACCGACAGGCAGGTCCATAGTTCTCTTTGCAGGAGAACCCCACACCTCCACCCTGTTACCTAGGGTCCTTTCTACCAGGGCCCCTTTTCCCTGTAGCAGTTCCACTTTGGTGATCAAGCCTCTAACACAGAGACACTGAACACTATAGAAGGCACTGGGGGGTGGGGTGGGTGGAGAGGTAGATAGTTGTAAGTACAGCAGGTGCTGCTACCTAGGAAGAGCCAGCTCTTCTGGGAGCCAGCTCTTGGGGTAAGATGCCAGGCAGCTCATTTGCTTGTGTCATCACCACAGAGAAAAGCCCCAAGGCACTCACTGCTATTATTATTCAAGGGTGCTTCAGTATTAGGGGAGGGGCCTCAAGCAAGTCTCCTCACCACCCAGGATGTGCCAGCACAGGCAGAGGCTGTTGCCTGGCCACTAGATGACCAGCCCCTAGTACCTGATATTACTGATTTGTCACTTTATCACCTTAACTGAAAGTACCACAATCACATTTACTCCGAAAGAACACCAAGAGAAGCTGGTGTAATTCAGTATTTAGGACAGACTACAAGGCCTCCCTCTGGTTGGTAGTTCAAGGCTACCCTGGGCTACATGAGACCCTGTATTTAAAAAGAAAAATGTGCACAAACAGCATTTAACTTACTATGTCTCTTCCTTACAGAGAAGACCTTAGCCACCTAAATAAGGTAAGAGTCAGCCTGACTCTTAACTCTGAATGTGGACACCAAGCCAGTGAATGCTTGTGCCACATTATGGTCTCTATGAAGACAATGTAAACCTTTCACTAGCCTTGCTGGTTATTTTAAACTTGAAAGCACCCTCTTTAAGCAACCATTGGGCCTCTAGGGAGGCACCTTAAGTGGAACAGAGGCAAAAGAAAACAGCTGGGGTGGCAGCTGTCCCCGGGGCTTCCCACTGGGGCAGTTAATTTGTGTGTCAGCCTTTCCCTCTGTGGAGGCCTGTGTGTTTGAAAAGAGTGTGCTCCGGAGAGTTTCTCAGCGTCTCTGGTTTAATCTCCTTACTCACTAAGACAATTTTAAGTAACCTGTCCAAGTGCAAGGGTCCTTGTCAGGGTCAAGTGAGACGGGCTCTGAGAAGGGTTTTTATATAGTGCCCTTGCTGATTGGTAGTTGGCTGCAGTTCATAAACATCTCAGTCACCAGTGTTTTTTGATGCTGTGTCTTACTCTTGCTTGTTGCTTCTTTCCATGAAGGCTAAATGTAAAAGTAGAGGTCTCTGGGGCCTTCTGCTTTCAGAGTCTGCTCACTTTGGGAACATTCAGCTCCTGATATGTCCCTGGTGCCTCTCAGTACCTCTTCTCTGTTCCTGATCACCTCTGCTGTGGATGTCATACCCTGCACCTGTAGCTCATAGTCCAAGATGTAAGAGTCCTGCCTGCTTGGTTTTTTCTTCTTGTAGGTTTCACTGTTTCTTTTGTAAAGTTGATACAAGCTAGAGGTTTTAGGGAAGGGGACTGTCAGTTGGGAAAATGCCTCCAAGAAATTGTTTGTGGTCAGCCTGTTGGTGTAATGAGCCTGTAAGACAGCAGAGCTGTCAGGAGCAAAGTTAAGAGACATTTTTGGTGACAGTGACTGGGCAACGCCCCTAAGACACTGAGAGCTTGTAAGACAGCAGAGCTGTCAAGGATAGATAAGATATTCGTAGTAATAGTAACTAAGAACGCTCTCAAGGCAGCTGACGTGTGTGCATGCTTGTGAAAGAATGGTAAGTTAAAGCTATGCCCTGAAAAATGTATAAAAACTGGAGCCAGAGCCCACTCAGGTGCGTCAGGCCAGACTCTTTGGTGAGTACGCCGAGAGACCGCCACTACCCAGCCAATTCCCGAATGGCTATTTGAAAAGCCCAGACCACCTTAACAAACCGGTTCTGAGAGGACCACCTTATCAGACCGGCCCTGGAAGGCGGCTCCCAAGCAACCACAGCTTCCTTCGCATCTGAG